ATCGGAGTTTCGCGAAGATGTCTTCGCCGCGTCAGTTACCGTCTACTTCAATGAATTTAATTAAAGAATTAGAAAAATGTAGAATAAAAGATAATCTTGAAAGAAAGCGAATAAAAGAAGATATAAAAGCAAAGGAAACTCTTGAAGAAAAGCGTGCTCGTCGCCTTCGGGAAAAGGATGCGAAAGAAATGCGTAGGCGAGAACGAATTGGCTGGGATACAGAGTATCAGCACTATACCGATCAGGACAATCCATTTGGAGATTCCAATTTAACTTCGACATTTGTATGGGCAAAGAAATTGGAAAAAGAAGGCCTTCAAGATGTGTCAAGCGAGACTGTTGATATACTATCGAGACAAAAACTACACGAGAATAAGCTCGAGCTTGAAAAAGTAAAAAAAAGGCGTATGGAGCGGGAATTAGAAAAACAAGCACGCGAAGACCAGTCGATTTTGCAACAGCGAGCAAAAGAAGCTGCACAGTTTCAAGAATGGGAGTTACAAGAAGACCAATTTCATTTGGAACAAGCTCTTCTGCGAAGTATAATTAGAATACAAGATGGACGAGCGAAGCCGATTGATTTATTAGACCAGTACCTTTCCGGTTTTAAACCAGAAGATACAAATGAAATACAAATGCACGAAACATATGTCCTTTTGAATGGCCTCAGTTAGAAAGATCTCGAAGATCTATTGGTGGACATAAAAATCTACGTTGAATTAGATAAAGGGAACAATATTGATTTTTGGAATGATATGACTGTTATTGTAGAGGACGAACTATTTAAGCTTAAGAAAAGTGCAAATAATAATCCAGATTATGAAAGTGGATCATGTTCTCGAAGAGAGGGTATACATGACTGCGTAGCAAAAGATGTTGCTGAAATTTTCCGTAAGAAAAATACGAAGCAACTAAATGAACTCCGTACAAAAATAGAAAATAAAATAATATCAAGGTCAGACGGTGTAGACATAAGTTATTGGGAAAGTTTACTTTCTCAATTAAAAGCACATATGGCTCGTGCCCGTTTGCGAGATAAACATCACGAGAACTTGCATAAAAAACTGAATATTTTAAAAACTAAAGATGATGCCGAGCGTTCTGATGCCCCGTCGACATCTAATAACGAAGAAACTAATTCTACCTATATTGAGACATTTGATAATGATAATAGGGAATTCAAAAATGAATTAAACCTCTTACAGCGATTTTTTGATATGTACGAAGATGGAAAATACAGTCCAACTTATGTCCAAAACCTTGATGATGAAAATGCTTTGCCAACTATTACTAAGGAAG